CTACAGTTCTTCTTTTTAGTTGGCTCTTACTCTAGTTTTGGAATCAGAGTAATTCTTGCCTCCAGGAATGAGTATGGGAGAATGGCTTCCCGTCAATTTCATAGAAGAGTTTGAGAAAAGTTGGCATTAAATCCTCTCTAATTTCTTCTAGAATTCTGCTGTGAATCAATTGGGTACAGGGCTTTTCTTTGTTGATAGGATTTCATTACATTTTCAATTTTGTTTCTTGTTATTGGGTTATTCAGAGTTTGTATATCTTCTTGACTCAGCTTTGTCATTTCATATATATCTAGGAAACTGTCCATTTCCTCTGTGTTTTCCTTCCTGTGAGAGTAAAGATTTTGGAAGTAGGTGTTGAGTATCTTCTGAATTTCTCTAGGGTCTGTAGTGATTTTGCCCTTTTCATTGCTTATTGCATGAATTTGGTTTTTTTCTTTCCTTTTTTGACTAGGTTGGTTAGGGGTTTATTGATTTTATTTATTTTTTCAAAGAATCAACTCTTTAATTCATTTATTCTTTGCATTGTCTTCTTCATCTCTAATGCATTAATTTCTGCTCTAATCTTTATAATTTCCTGCCTTCTTTGGGCTTTGAGCTTGACTTGCTTATCTTTTTCTAGGAGCTTGAGGTGCAACATAAGATCATTTATTTGGCTTGTTCTGTTCTCCTAATGTGCAAATTTACTGCTATAAAATTTCCTCATAAGACAGTTTTCATTGCATCCCACAGGGTTCCATAGGTTGTATCTACATTTTTGTTTGATTATAAATATTTATTAATTCTTCTTTAATTTCATCTGTGACCCACTGGCTGTTTAGGAGGTTCTTATTTAATTTTCATACATTTATGATGCTTTTGTAATTTCTTTTGTCGATAATTTCCAGTTTTTTTGCACTGTGGTCAGATAGTATGCATGGGACAATTTCAATTCCTTTGCGTTTACTTAAGAGTGTTCTGTGCGTGAGCATATGGTCCATTTTGGGGAACATCCTGTGTGCAGCTGAGAAGAATGTGTATTCTGTTGTTTCTGGGTGAAACACTCGTCAAAGATCTACCAAGCCAATGTCCTCATAAATTTGGTTTAGTTCTGTTACTTCTTTGCTGATTTTTTGCCTAGTCAATCTATCTCTTTGTGACAGTGGCATGTTAAAGTCCCCCATTACTACTGTATTATTGCTTATTTGATTATTCGTGTCTGTTAAAATTTTTCTTGTGTGGGTGCTCCAATATTGGGTACATATATATTTGTAATTGTTATCTTTTCCTCTTGCAGTTTTCCCTTAACAAGTACATAGTGACTTTCTTTATCTCTTTGGGTGATTTTTGGTTTGAAGTTGATATTGTCAGTAAACAGGATAGCTGCCCCTGTTTTTTGTGATTTCCTGTGGTATGGAGCATTGTTTTTATCAGTTTTAGGCTGTGAACTTCCTTTTGAGTTAAATGTGTTTGTTGCATGTAGCATATTGTGGGATTTTGTTTCTTAATCTACTCTTCCAGTCTGTTTCTTTTGATTGGTAAATTGAGGCAGTTTATATTGATGATTACTGGCTTATCTTTGTGATGTTATTTTCTTGCTTAGGTTCCTATGTTTTTCCTCTTTTTAATTACTTGCTCTGTTTGGTGGTTCCTTTCTGTCCTTGAAGCTGTGAACACTTCTGTCTCTTTTTAGAATGTCTGTCCGTACTCTTTGTAGGGTTGGTGTGGTGGCGATGAATTCTTCAGTTGTTCCCTGTCATGGAAGAATTTATTTAGCCATTGAATTTGATAGATAGTTGTGCAGGGTACATCAATCTGGGTTGGAAGTTATTTTCTTTTAGGACCTTAAATACTTCACTCTCAGTTCTTCTTAATTTGATTATTTGTGCTGAGAACTCTGCTATGATTCTGATGGGTTTTCCATCGTGAGTGGTCTGTTTCTTTTCTCTAGAAGATTTCAATAATCCATTCTTTTGCAGAATTTCTGAGATCTGATTATTATGTGTCTAGCTATAGATTTATTGTGATTAAGGCTGTGTGGAGTTCTGTATGCCTTGCGTATCTGTATGTCCATTTCTTTGCTCATGTTTGGAAAATTTTCTACTAGTACTTCTGCAAATATTCTTTTTATGTCATTTGTGCTGTCTCCCACTGCTTCACTGATACCAGTTATTCATATTTTACTTTCTTTTCATCATCTTGTAGCTGCTGAACTGTCATTTCTCAGTTCCTTTTAGTTTTAGGAGATCTTTCCTTTCAAGTTCATTAGCTGCAGCGGTGTCTTCGGGATCTGAAAGCCTATCTTCAGTTTGCTTCAAGTGGTTTTGCCAGCTTTCAGTGGAGTTCTTAATGTCCTGGATACTGCTGGAATCTGGTTCATGCATTCTAAGTCTTTCCTTCATTGTTCATTCAGTGTTTCCATCATGTTTCTATGCTGCTCTTTTTAAAAAAATCTGTTTTCTTTAGCTGTGCTTAGCAATTCTTCACAATTGTTGTCATTTCCTTTTGGATCTGAGAGATTACTTCTGAACTTATTTCTTCTGTAGCCCGATAGACTTGTTTCTTCACTTTAGTTGCTGTCATTTCAGAGATTTCAGGTGTGTGATTTCCAAGTTCTATGTCTTTGTCTCCTGGATTTGTTCTGGGTGGGTTAGAGGATTGAGGCTGCCTTTTGCTCATGCATTTTGGCATTTTTGAAGCTCCCAGTAATCAACCACACAGAGTTCCATGGGCCCCCAGAATCCGCCAAAGTTCCTAAATGGTTCCAGGGAGCCTGCACTGGCTCACGCTGGGCCCACAGATCGCAGCCCTCCTGTGCTACCCAGGCCACTCAGAGCCCTCTCATGTTCTTAAAAGTTTGGACCGGCACCAGTAGAAGCTCCACACCTGTGCGCTGGGGCTAAGAAAGGTCAGAGTTTACCAGAGTCCTGAAGGCTGCCCAGAGTTGCCAAAGTTCTCAAATGGCTCCAGGAAAGCTCCTTAAAT